CATGAACAAAGTGTTGGCAGCTGTGGACGGAGACACTGGCCTTGAAGCTAGCTGCCTGACCGCCTGGGCATGGAGTGAAGTCATGATTCCCGAGGCTTCCTTTTCTACGTTGGGATTGAGCTGCAGAGGGAGCCCTTGTGCACTGAAGCCCACCTCACCCTGGACATCTTCTTCAGGGGTGCACACACGCCGTGTTTCTGGCTGGACAATAGAGCAAGAGCAGCATGGTGTTCAGAAGGCTCGACTCTAGAGCCAGACTGCTCAGCTTCAAACCCTGGTTTTTTGGCTTCTTCGTTCAACAACCTTAGGCAAGAAAACTAACCTCTCTTGACCTCAGTTTCCTGATCTGTAAAATGAGATAATAACAATATCCATTTTATAAGGCTGTTATAATGATTCAGTGTGTATTTTTCAAGTGCATAGAAAAGTCACCAGCACACAGTATTAGACGGTGATTATTAGTATAAAATAAGGTGAGGTCATGTTCTGAAGTCCTTGACTTGTTCTAGTTCCCCTAGTTAGGTCCTACAAGGAGAAGGAAGGACTTGCTGAACCATTTCAGTGTTGTTACTTCTGGTCAGAAAAGTGCAGCACTGAAAGGAGTAGAAGAGCACCCGAGAGGTTTGTAATCCATACCTGCCAAGATGAGGGGCTGAGAGAGAGCTGAGTAGTGCCGACAAGTTGTAGCTCTTACGAGGGAAGCATTGCCCTTCTGGAGGTGTGAGTTTTTGTGAGAGGTGCTCTAGTGAGTATGCGGGCCCTCGTGCCTACTTGAAGTGCGGTAGTCTGATGGCTTGCAGGCCGACATTTCAGAGGACCCTGGTTCATCTACAATAGCTGAGTTTCTGGGAAATAAACAAGAGGGTTGAGGCAGAGGTCAGAGATCAGTGAAGGACTGAGGGCCACATAGAGGATGGGAGCCAACAACTTGTGACCTAACTGTCCCTACCCCCAATCTCAGCAGGTCACAAACACCAAGACCAGAAATCCAGGGTCCACACTGGCTATTTTGAGAACTGGCGAGTGAGAGTGGAGGGAGGCAGGGTGGGAGGCTGAAGCTTTAGCATACTACTTTCCAACAGGAGATGCGAGGGAGATTTCAAGTGGGGAAATGGGGATTTTCTTCTCCCTGCAGCACCCACTTTTGGCCTCCCCCCATGAAGATCTGGACTGTTAGATTATGACCGTTCATAAATTTAACCTAAGTGGAGCTGGAAACGGCTGGAGAGTCAGATGGCAGCTGGGGCATTGTTCCATTCCAGGGTCAGTAATCTCAGGAGAGGCTGAGGAAGGGGCCAGCTGGCAGAGCAGAGGGAATGTGGCAGTCCTGTGTTGAGTCCTGATACCCACTCCTATTTAGAGGATTCTCGAGGTCCACTGATACACAAAGCAAAGTGGAGAAAACAGCCATCTGATGGGAGATATTTAGAATGGGGTTGAGATTTTCCTTCAAAGGGAAGCAGGTGGGGGGAGGGAGAATTGATGGATTCGGGAACAGGCTTAGTTAGAGACAGGCAGAAGCCTGTCAAAACAGGGATCAGAGTTGGGGGTTTGCTGACAATAGACAAAGGTAGGATTTGAAGTCAGAGATCAAGAGACTATAGTTTTTGCCTCTTTTTTTCTCCCTTGTGGTACCAGGGATTGAGCCCAGGGCTTCACACATGGTACGCAAGTACTCTACCACTGATCTCCATCCCCAGCTCTTTTGTTTTGAGTTAGAGTCTCAAGTTACCCAGCCTGGACTCAAACTTGTAATCCTCTTGCCTTCGCCTCTGGAGTAGTAGAAGTTGACTCTTAACTCTTGACTCTCTTGTTGAGACATTTGGCTGTTATCCTATTATGGCACACCTCATCCAGGTCACACTTTTGCAGTGTGGAAAAACCTCTGAATGATGACAGGATGCCATAGCAGAAGGTGTCATCTCTGTGTCTACTGGGTTATTATATCAATCATGTGCAAAAATATAAAACTAATTAACCCCTATAAGCCAGGCATGGTTACAGGTGCAGACCTGTAATCCCAGCACTTGGGAGGCTGAGGCAGGAGGATTGCTGCAAGTTTGAGGCCAGCCTGGACTACACAGTGAGTTCAAGGCCAGCCTGAACCATATAGAAAGACAGTGTCTCAAAAAAAAATTGATCCCAAAGAGATCACAGGAAGAGAAAAAGTAATAATTGGACCAGTCTCCCAAGTGTTTTAGGAATTATCCTAGCCAGGTATGATGGTGCATACCTATAATCGTAGCAGGAGGATCACAAGTTTGAGCCCAGCCTGGGCAATTTAGTGACTTAGCAAGAACTTGTTCAAAATAAAAAAAGAGCTGGGGAGGTAGCTCAGTGCAAAGGCTGTGTGTTCAATCCCCAGTATTTGAAAAAGAAAGAAAGAAAAAAAATCCTTTCTTTTATGGAAGCGTTCTTTCAGTCAAAGAGAGATTAGCAGGAATTCCATAGATTTTCAGGAACACTTTTGTGTATGTTCTTTCAGATTTTAAAATGAAAATGTGCACAAAGTGAGCTCAAGGCCAGCCTGAACTGCATAGCGAGACCCTGTCTCAAAAAGAAATATGCAGAGGATAGATAGGAAGGAAGGAAGAAAGAAAAAAGGAAAGAAAAGAAGAGAAAAGAAAAGTCTTGCTAGGTTGCCCAGACTAGCCTTGGATTTGCAGTTCTCCTGCCATAGCCTCTCAGGTAGCGAGGATCACAGGTATGTGCCACTGTGCCTGGCTTATAGCCTGTGTAGGACACATTCCTATGTCAAACACACCATGCTATCAACCTTTTAAAATATCATTTTATTCTTATTTCCTCCTTATTAGAGAATTTTACTAGAATTAAAAGACTAGTTCAATATGTATCCATATGCTTTCCAATTAGATTCAGTACTTGTTGACACATTTGCATATTTGTGACAATATGGCAATGTTTAGCTTTGCAGGGATGGTTCAGTCTGATGGTGTAAGAATGACAAGTCAGTCTGCCTGCGTTCCAAATCCAGGTCCACTGTTTCCTACTTGTGTATGTTAACCTGGAGCAAGATCCTTAACATCTCTCTAAGCCTATTTCCTCAACTATAAGGTAGGGTGACACTTGAGAGATTTCAGAGGATTAAATTGGGTAATGTTTGTCACACAATAAGTGCTCAGTGAATATTGTTTGGGTACTTGCCTTATCACCTCACTTACCTGGAAGATAAGAACAATCTCTTAACTGGTTGCCCTTTAAGTCCATGGCCATTTACCTTAAGAGGTCGCTTTCTACAGTCAGCTAATTCTGCTCTATTTCTCCACCGTGCACTCTCTGACTTAGATGATTATTTCACTCACAAACCAGCCCCCTCAAGTCTAACACTTCTTGTCTCTTCTTCACTCTCAGCGGACAACTGTCCTTTTGCTGAGAAAACGTAATTAGAAGAAGAGAATGTCTATACATTCCCACAGAATCTGCCACTGTGCTTGCTTCCAGCCTATACTTTCATTCCTATAATGTAGATGATCTTTCTCTGTATCTGTCTAAGGCCAACCTCTCTGCTTATGTATGAGGTCCATTTCCTCTTGCTTATCCAAGACATCCCTTGGGTAATTGTTCCCTCTCTATTCCATGATCAATTTTTTTCCTTCCCTACTAAATCATTTCCATCATCATTCAAATACACTAAATCTCCTGTCTTAAAAAACACCCTCCTATGAGCCCACATTTGATCCTAGCTACTATCCACTTCCTCTGCTGTCCTTTTTTATGGCCTTCTGTAACAAAAAAATGTGCCAGTAGATCCAGCTTATTTTACCATGAAACTTCTCTGAAGTCTGAGTGCTTCCTATCACTACCATCCTAGTTGGTATCACTGTAAGACTCTCTTAATTATTTCCCCTGCTTTCTTTCTTGTCCCTCTATAGTTTATTCTCCACCCATCAGTCACAGAAATCCTTGAAAAACATGTTGGAGCTGGTTTCTGTCTGCCCTCAAACCACTAATGACTTTCTGTCAAGTTAGACCAAAATCCACTCTTTGCCCAGCATCAAGGATGTATTCTGGCTACCTTCTCGATCTTGTTTTTTTATAGTGTCTCCCATGCTTATCTCCAGCCATAATGGTTTCTTACTGTTCCATAAACATACTAGGCACAGACCTACCTCAGGGACTTTCTCCTTCCTGTCTTATCTGCCCATATGGTTCTTCACACAGACATTTACGTGGCTCGCTCTTGTAGGTAATTAAAGCCTCTACTTAAATGTCAGTCTTCAGAGACACTTTCCAAGGCTACTTGGTTTTATTTTCTTTCATAGCATGTCATTAACTTACATGTTTGCTTAATGAGTACAGGGACATTTTTTTTCTTCCTGCTGTATGCTCAGTGCCTAGAACAGTATATATTAGGCCATAATATACTTGTTGAATGAATCTTTTGCTTCTTTTAGTGCATAGAAAATCTGCCCCACCCCTAGTCAGCTCTGATTTCCTCTGCATGCATCTTCCTTCCTTCCTATCTCTCCTCCAGCTACACCAGTTGCTTATTGTTCCTCAAACAAGCTAATCATATGTTTACCCATGGCCCTGGGAAGTGCTGGTCACAGCCTTTACTTCTTCATCTCCTTCAGTTCTTTGCTCAAACACCACCTTTCAGACAGGCTTTTTCTGACAACTCTGTGTAAAGCTTGATTCCTCCATTTTCACCTCTACACTTACTATGTCCCTTCTCTGCCTTTTCTCCATAGCAGGCATCACCACCTAACCCTGTAGTCATGTTATTTACTTATTTGTCTGAGAATACACTAGAATAAGCTCCACAAAGACCAGGTTTCTTTGTTTTGTCCTTTCTGATTTCCTTAGCACCAGTAAATATTTGTTGAATACTTTTGAGATTTTTCTTCTCTTCATGATCGCAAGACTTACTTCTTCAAAAGACTAAGAGAATGTACCTAATCATAGGACAGCATGAGTGTCTAGGCGGATGGCACCTTAATATTCCCATGAATATCTAATATTCTGTTTTTTTTCCCCAGCTTAACACCAAAACATCCCCAGCAGCCAACCAGGCATCTGGCCCAGAGGAAAAAGGTGAGTAGGGTGTGGGAGGCAGTTTGCAGAGCCTGTGAAGTTAGGAGCATGAAGATAAGCAGGGATGTAAATCTGTACTCGCCAAAAGTCAGACATCAGAGGAATAAGAATACCTACAAGCTTCTTTCCGCTATTTCCTAAGAGTAAACCTTCCAGTACCTCCTCTTGTTTTAGAAGCTGGTAGGTCTAGAGTGGTTGGGGAAGGCCAGTACACTGATAAGAAGAAACTCATGAGATAATCTGGTCATTGTCTCCATCAGAAATTAGGGGCAAATTGAGAAAAGTGAGTATGTTTTGGGATTTGAACTGTAGGATTTAGGAATAAATGATAATAGAAGACATTTGTCAAAATAGCAAAACCTCCTGAAGAAACTATAGCTAGTTCCCAGCCTAAGTACTGTGACTCAAACTTCTAGAAGAATTATCAGGTACTCATAGTCCTAGCAAAGATTGGAGGGCCCCACAGAATCCAGTACAAAATGGACCTTAACCACTGGGGCCTTAGGAACAGGGATCGAGTGGTCAGGTTGACTCATCAGTTGTATCCAACCATCCACAGGGAAGGCTGGCAATGCCAAGAAGGCTGAGGAGGAGGAGGAGATTGACATCGATCTGACAGCACCAGAGACGGAGAAGGCTGCACTTGCCATTCAGGGCAAGTTCCGGCGATTCCAGAAAAGGAAAAAGGACCCCAGCTCCTGAATGGCCAGCCTTGCCCTTCACGCTGCTACCTTCTTTCCCCTTCTCCACAGCCCTGACTCCCATGTGTCTTGGCCCTTTGTCCCTCTAGCCTCTCACTGAGGCAAAGTCAACCTTTCTATATTTTTTTCTCTGGCACTCTGAAGCCATCACAGCAGTAAGAGGCACAAGGAGCATGGAGAAGATGAGGAACTTCAGTTGGCAGCTGTTTCCCTAAGGGTGAACCAGTCTCTCCTTGGGCTGAGTGTCTAGGCCTGCCCTGTGGGGTTGGAGCACAAGAGGCTTTGAGGTTGAGAGGTCCCCACCACCACCAACAACAACAATGTGGGAAAGAGGGAAAACCTTTAGAGGAGGGTGCCTGAGAGTGGGGCAGAGGCACTGTCTGCCAGTTGCCACATTCACACTTCCTGTGACATTCTTTCCCTTTCAGATCCTTCTGCACTACCAGCTCCAGTTTCCTAAGATCAAAGTCACAGTGGGGACTGGAGCCTCCTTTGCCCCAGGCAGCTTACCGTGTTAGTGCATGCTGAGCAGCTTAGTTCCCACCCAGGGAGGCAAGGAAAATTTTCCTTCACTATCCAGTCTAAGATTATAGTGGGCAGAGGCAGGACAGGCTCCAGGGGCTGTAAACAGGGAAACGAGGTGTAGAGGGGATTTAGGTAAGAAAGAAAAGTCAAGAATGGGAAGATCTCTAAAGCCATGGGCTACAGCCAGTAAAACTGTAGTACATGAAAGATTCTTGGGGCTTTGCTAACCTGCCTGCCTCTAACCGTCAACTTTAGCCACACCACCCACCTCAAGCTGCACGAGCCAAGTGACCCTGGTAGTTCCCACCTGCCCCACTGTGGAGTCAGGGCAGACACGGAATAGCTACTCTGTGATTTTAGCATGTTTAACAATTATAACAATAAAAACCCCTCAGATGGGGTCATTGAACCTCTACTAGTGTTTTTGTCTTGGGAGAAATATGAATGCAAGCTTGAGTTGGCCCCAGGGAGGAGGGTTAGAACAGCTGCACGGATTACATGGCGGCAAGGGAAGCTAGTTCTGCACGAACAATTCTCAGGCTGAAGCCAATTCTGCCTTCCTTCTCCCGACCTTGCCCTCACCTTGATGCGCCGCCCACACTGTGTCTCTGCCGCCACCACCCCCGGAGTGCACCTGCAGCCAAGCTCATCTCCGTTCTCCTGCAGCTAACGGCGCGCTTGGTACACTTCCTTCTGTAAATAAGCCTGGCCTTCTGGATCCCTACCCGCAAATCACCTATCCTCCTTCCTCCCTGTGGTTCTTCCTCCTCCTCTTCCACTCTCCACCCCACCTAGTGTTTATCAAACTGGAAGGAAGGAGACAATTATTCTGGTCACTAGGGATCACCACTGCTACACTGAAGATTTTCAACCACAAATGAAATAAAATGATGGCTTGCAAGTAAGCTTACATTGCTACACATTGAAATCAGTAGGGAAATTATAAAAGAATGAACAAAGAAGACCCATACTTACCACTTTTTTCACTTGCCTCTCCTTTCACTGTAGCTCTCTCTCTTGCTCTGTCTTTCTGTGTCTCTGTCTCTCTCTCTGTCTGTCTCTGTCTCTGTCTCTGTCTCCCTCTCCTGCTCTCTCTCTCTCTCTCTCTCTCTCTCTCTCTCTCTCTCTCTCTCTCCCTCTCTCCCTCTCTCCCTCTCTCCCTGTCCTGCTCTCTCTCTCTCCTTCTCTCCCTCTGGGAATTGAGCCCAGGGACTTTACCCTGAGCTACATCCCCAGCCCACTGATTTTTTTTTTTATTTTTGAGATGGGGTCTTGTGAAGTTGCTAAGTTTCCCAGGCTGCCCTCAAACTTGCATTCCTCCTGCTTCCGCTTCTCAGAGTTCTGGGATTACAAGTATGCTCTATCATGCCCAGCTTCAATTTTTTTTTTCTGTGATAAAATATGTATAACCCAAAAGTTACCCAAGCTAGGCACAGTGGTCCACACCTGTAATCCTAGCACTCAGGAAGACTGACATGGGAGGGTCACAAGTTTGAGCCCAGCCTGGGCAATTTAGTGACTTAGAGAGACACTGTCTCAAAAAAAAAAAAAAAAAAAAAAAAAAAAAAAAAAGGGCTGGTAATATAACCCAGTGTGAAGGCCCTGGATTCAATCCCAAGTATCCTCCTTAAAAAATTTGCCACTTTAATCGCCTTTTTTTTTTACCTCAGTTTTTTTGAGACAGGATCTCATTCTGTAGTCCAAGCTGGCCTCAAACTCACTATATAGTCCTGACTGGCCTCAAACTCATGGCAATCCTCCTGCTTCAGCCTCCCAAGTGCTGGGATTACAGGAGTGCACCACCATGCTTGGATTTAACCATTTTTATACAGTGCAGTATTAAATACATTTATAATGTTTACAATCACCACTATCCATCTCCATGATGCTTTTCATCCTGTAAAACTAAACTTTTTTTGTTTGTGTTTTGTTTTTTTGAGACATGGTCTCACTGTGTAATTTAGGCTAGCCTTGAATTTACCGCAATCCCCCTCTCTAAGCCTCTTGAATGATGGGATTACAGCCATGCATCACAAAACTGAAGGTTTAAACAATAACACCACATTTCCTATCTTCCCAGCCTCTGGAAAGTACAGTTCTACTTTCTTGGCTTACTACTTCTTGGTATTTACCTTTCCCTTCTTGATTCCAGAATATAGAAGCCAAAACCAGGTAGCAACCATGAATAAGAAAGGAGGAACAATAGCTCTGGAAGACAACCTCTATCCCAAAGTTTATCCATGTGCAGCAAGCCCGACTGTGGGGTCGTTAGAAAACCTGAGCAGTCACTCATGGGAAAGCCCTATGTGAAAGGAGTTTCCTCCTCATGATGCCAGAGAAAAGGCGGAAGTTTTACTGCTACATTTGAATCTGTTTGGGCACAGTAGATAGTGGGATAGCCCAGCCTTGTAGACAAATGAAAGAAGAATAGTATTGCCACACCTAGTGTGTGTCCTACAAAAATAGGGCTGTTCCCTGTTCCTTTATTGCATGCATGAGCTGAGAACTGGCTGGCGCTTCTTTTCACTATTGATGTAGGCTTTTGAGAGCTACCAGGTACTAAGGCTGGGGTGGTATTCTCGGCCACCAGCCCCTCTTCTGTAGACTCTCATGCTTGCAGGATATTTGCCGATTTGCTCTGTGCCACACTGATCTGGAACATATTGCTGAGATGATTTTTCCCTTTTACTAGCCCTTGCTCTGAACATGTTATAGTATTTGTTCTCATACATATTTTTAATAAACAACATAGTAACAACAAACATATACTCATAGCTTTGGGAAAGAGGGTCCTGACCAGAAAGGGAGACTTAGGCATCTTTTATTGAATTAACAGTAGTTCTCACTAAAGGTTCTAAAAGCAGATTTTTCTCTGCAGGCCTATTCCTATCATGAGTATTCAGATGAGGCTTGTTCTCTTTGGCCTGCCTGTAACTTCTTCTTGGGGCCCTGAGCTTCAGCTGGGATCTCTTTCTTGGGCTCTAGAACGCTGCTTCTCTTTCCTGTCACTTTCTCTACTGGAGAAGAAATGACTCTTGAGTACTAATCACTGAGGAGTGCTTTATTGTGTGGAACAAAGACGGCAAGTCTTTGGGGAATTGGTGAACTCTGTTATAAATGACTTAACAGAAGAGAGAAGCAGAAAACACAATAGAGGAAAAAAAGCTCAAAAGAAAAAAATCTCTTCTACTCAACAATTCTAACACCAAATCTGTGAGTTTTTAAATGAGACAATGGAAATGATTTCAGGGCTCCAGGAGGGAGTAACTCTCTTACAGCTTCAGTATTCTCTGAGTTGAGCCAAAGACTTCTCTGGGCAGCCCGTATTTATTTGGTTTTCAAACAAAGGAGCAGGATACTCAGCAAAACATGGGAATCTGAGCAAGACCATGGGAGAATTTTCCCAAGTAGTAAATTATGTCAATCAGTAGAACTACCTTATCTTTAGGTTGATATTTATTGTAGGAGTGTGGAGCCTGCAACTGCATTCTCCTTGTAGTTAATTGGGGTTGGAGCCAGATGTCCTCAGCTGTGGCCTTATCTTGTCCTTTGGGGCCTCATAGCTTCACAGGCCTCAGGGTGACCAGGAACTCACAGAGGTTTACTTACTATGAGTCCCCTGCCCACCCCCAGTCAAGGTGCCTAAGCTTAGACAACTCACAAGTAAACACGGAAAGCCAATTGGTTAATATTAAATACTGCTCAGAGCCACTTTGTAGTGGTCTCCAACAAGTTTTCCCCTCACAATAAAAAATTCTCCAACTCTCCAGACATCAACTGTATGCCCTACAATTCACATATGACACTAACTACTCGGAGGAAATACCAGGTACATGTTTCATATTGTGACTGGTGCTTCTAGTCACTGGGCTACAAATCAGGGAGCCCCATTGTGTGGTCTTCATCCTGTTCAGTAATTTTCCTGAGGCTTGCAGAACTCAGGAAAGCACTGTGCTTATTACTACCAGTGAATTAGAAAGAATATTGCTCAGGAATAACCAAATGGAAGAAATACATAGGGCAAGGCACAAAAATGGGGTGTGTGGCGCTTCAGTGCCATCTCTTTCCATGCCAGTCTCCCGGTTCCTCGATGTCTTTACCAACCTGGAAGCTGTCTGAGCTCTTCACTTCACTGTTCAGGGTTTTTATGGAGACTTCATTACATAAGTATGATTGGTTAAGTTGCTGGGCATTGGTGATTCAATCAGTCTCCCATTCTTTTCCTCTGCTGGATATCAAGGGATGAGGCTGAACATTTCAATCCTCTGATTATAAAGTTGGTTACTCTGGCAGTCAGCCTGCTGTCTTCCAAGACTCACTTCACTAGCATATGTTCAAAGGATGACAACAGTTAGCCAAGGTTATCCATACCTGTACTCCATAACTTTGCGCCCTAGGATTGAGACCAGGCACCCCAGAAGCTCGAGACTCAGCTTGTGCCCTTCTCATATACTAGGTCACTGGCTGTCTAGGACACTTGCAAGCCAAATTGGCTGATTCAGTAATTCTCTCAAGGTTGAAGAATGGATAGAGACAGGGACCTAGAGGCCCTAGATTGCAGACTCCCAATAGGTAACTAAAAGCAAGACAAAGCTGGGTGTCTGTCCTTATTTTATACCTCTCTTATTTCCTTGAAACTTTGGTTTTAAGCAGACTGCTGCTCAGCTCTGCACATGGGCACCTTAATCACTTAAGCAGTGTCTGTAATGCAAGGTTTATGAGCCCTATATTACCTGGTCCACCTCAACTGCCTTCAAAACTGAGGCCACCAAGATAAGAGTAACTAAAGGAATTTTCAGGATTTGCAAGGACATCCCTTTGCCAGTTTTATTATGGGCCAGTTCCAGGCTCCCCTTGAGCAATGCTTAGAAGTCCTAAACTTGTAATCACCTTGGGTTCCAGGAAAAGCAGAGGGGCACAGACCATCCCATGATAAGATCACCGTCCCTAAATGGAAGCAGTTACCCCATGGGAGGAACCAAGGTTGTCCACCCCCAGAGAGCGCTGTCATTTCACGGGACTCCAGCTGCCCTTCAAACCGTAGGATTCCTCTAGAGCTCAGGAAACCAGAACTGCAGTGATGATCACCCAGAACCTTTCCCACCTCAGCTAATCTCTTTTTAAAGGCTGGCCTCGGTCTTTTGTAAGGGGGTGTGGTCTGAACCTCTTCATCCGGAGGCCTTTCTCTATGTTTGGTACTGGGAATCAAACTTAGGACCTTGCACTTGCCAGGCAGGAGCTTGTGCCACTGAGCTATATCCCTGACCCTCTCCTGTACTTTCTAACTCTAAGAAGTCTGCCTATACCTCACAGTAACATGTTCTGAAGTTCTTTTTCTTTCTCTCTCTCTCTCTTTTTTTTTATGCAGTACTACAGAGATTAAACTCAGGGAGTTTGCACTGAGCTACATGCCCC